CATGTAGATTACTGCGGAGCCAGCAGTCCCCATGAAAAACTCTGCCTACACCCCAATGAGGCTGCTCTGAGTCATGAGTCAAGGACTTAAGAGTACCTGCTGCTCCTCCAAAGGTCCCAGGTTCAGTTCCCAGTACCTACATGGTGGATCACTACCAGCTGTAACTCCAGGTCTGGGAAAATCTGGTGGCATCTTCTGACCCCCACAAATATCAGGCACACATAGAATTTAGGCAAAACACTCATAAAGATAAAATAAAAATAAATAAATCTAAGAAAGAAAGACAGTCAGATGCTGGGCATGGCTGCCAGTCACTGACAGCTCAGGTGCTTTTAGGAAGAATTCAAGCAGGGGCCCTGGTCTTGGGAGTCTCTCTCTTGAGAGATCAAGATTGCCACTGATAAAGCTCTAGCTGCCATCACCTTCCCCTGGCCTTAGCCTGCTGCGGAGTTTGACAGTTCTACTCTACTGTGACACTCAGCTCCCAGCTCTACAAGCGGGTAGTTGCTTTATCTGGCCCCAGATGCCTGGACTGATGTCCATGGTTTTTATTCCTTTCTTTCATTTTTTTCAGACAGGATCTCTCTGTGTAGGCCAGGCTGGCCTCAAACTTGTGAGCAGTCTTGCTTCATGCAGCTTGCAATGCTAGGATTACAGGAATGTTCCACTATACCCAGCTTAGAATTAAATTTTTTTCCGTAAATTAACATTTATGTATATGGATGTTTTGCTTGTAGGTTTATTTGTGCATCATGAGGGTGTTGTATCCCTTGAGAGTGGAGTTGCAGATGGTTATGAACCACCATGTAGGAATCAAACCTGGGTGCTCTTATCTGCTGAGCTATCTCTTCAACCTCTATTTTTCTGGTTGTTGTAGTATATCATCAATATTATCAATGGATTATGATTACTGCACATACAGAGATCAGCAAACCTGACTCCTGTGCGTCTGCAGGGGATGCATACCTTTGGTGACATCTGCACAGAGTAGGTTGTCGTCCCCTATCATGGTAGTTTTGATGGCAGGTGGCAGTTGGGGTGGGGTTGGGAAGTTCCAGAGTTTAACTTGGACTTTGGGGTAGGTTCTATGAAGTCACTGAGAAAGCCCCAGTTTTTTATCATATTCTTAAACCTAAGACTTCAAAAGAAAGCTTACACCTTAGTGTGTGTCACATCACCTGAAGGACTCTTGTACCAGAGGTTCTTATTTGGTAAGTCTGTGGGGCCCAAGAATTTGTACTGCTGCTGGGGGCAGGGGTTGGGAATTGACGCACACTTAGGAGACAAGAGGCAGGCAGATCTCTGTGAGCTCAAGGCCAGCCTGGTCTACAGAGCTAGTTCCAGGCTATGGGGGAGTGGGACAAAAAACAAAAACAAAAACAAAAACAAAAAAATCAAAAAAGAGTTTGTATTGCCAACAACAGTTTCTGAGGGGACACTAATGCTCTTGATCTAGGCCCGTGATTTAAGAATCACTGATTAGACTACAATAATCATAGGGGTGCTAAGTTTAAATTATGATCTTCCTTTTTAGACAAGATTTAAAGATACCACAGCCCTCTAAAACCACCCTAAGTCCCAAGGAATTTGAGATTTTATTTTTGGGAGAAGCCTCTGGAGAGAAAGATGTTGAATCTCCCTCCCCGTGGAGGTCAGGAAACATCTGGGAAATGCCCTCTGAAATTTAAAAAGCCAAGCAAAACTCTTGAATGGAAGCTGATGAGATTGGCTTTGGTTGATCCAAATACTGGGCCAACTGCTAGTGAAGAAGGGGTTCTGGGAATCTGGGCAGACCAGAGCCTCTCTGGAGACCTATTGATACTAACTACTGTTGGGCTTCTATGTGAATCTATCAGGGTTGGGACTGGAGGTTTGCTCTAAGGAAGAACAGGTGTCTGTCAGAGGGTGGGGTGGTTAGAATATGGGAAAATGGAGAAGGAACAAAATCCAACAAGACAACTCAAGAGCCGAATTTACGGAACCCATGGCTGAGGTCGCTGTGGTGAGGGGAGGAGGAGGAACAGTGCTTCAGGCTGTGCTCACTTGAAGAAAAGCAGTAGAGAAGCCTGGAAGGGCCATCTGCCAGTTTCCTCTAGACCTGCTCCAAGTTAAATCTTTCCCCCATGAAAGGGAGGGATAATTCATTCATGAATCAAACTGAGTCTAGAACAGGAAATGTGACTCTGAACTATGCAGAGGAATCTCTTTTGTAAAGAGCACACTGGCTTTACCACCTGTGCAGCGAGGCAATGTCAAAGTCAGAGAGATCTACTTATTAGTGAGGTGTGTAGACAAAACCATCATGGCTTTGGCACTATAGCAGAGCATGGAGAACACAGATGTGTTCTGACATCCACACACCTGGGCGTGGAATTCTGGTGGTGGAGCCCTGGGGCAGGTTAATCATCCCATGCCACAGTGAGCATCCTCACCTGTAAAAGGCGGGTAGTAAGAGTGCTTGCACCTTACAGGGGCTGGAGTAAGAATGAAATAAAATAACCTAGGAAAAACACTTTGGCATCTAATTTTACACATTCAGTACTTAAAACATAAAAGATAGTGGGGCTCAGAAAAATTCAGGACAGTGATTATACACCCACTACCGGAGCTATTGCCAGAGACAAAAGGACAGCTAGGCTGGAGCTGCTCCCGGGCTCAGGCTGCCTAAGGGAATAGCTTTAACAGGCCAACCCTGCTGGTTGTAACAGAGATATCCTGCTTGTACACACTGAGCATTCAGTCTCTTTTGGGACATTTCTCACTGACAGTCAGATATGAACAAATCAAAGTAATTAGAATTATCATTGGTAGGAAAACTGTACTAATGCTACTGTGAACACCTGGAGATTGGCAATATTAAAGTGGAATCCCATTTTCAGGGGAAATATACAGCTCCTGAAGTTTTCAAAGTGTGAGGACGTACTGAAGTGATAGTAGTGGAGGTGTGTGGACCCCAGCAGAACTGGTAGTCAGATGCTACAGAGGGATTTCTTTCCTTTGATCCCAAATGAGCAGAAACTCCTCTAAAACCCACACCATAGATCAAAAAGTCCTGTCAAATCCTGGTACCCAAAGATGTCCGTGTGTGTGGTGGTGGGGGAAGTCTTATCTGCCTAGAAAGCAACTCTTACTGGAACTAAGAACAAAGAGATTGCTAAAAAAGAAAAATACACCATGTAAAAGAGCCAAAGTCAGCTATATGCCACATGCTTAAATAAAAATTCACAGCCACTGGAAGGAGGTAGTGGGGAAAGACTGCCAATTTTATGACGTGATTCTGGGTTCTTTTCTTAAAAAGTCTCCAAGCCGTTCATACCTATCCTAAGTCTGGGAGATGACCCTGCAGGGCCGCCGTAGGCCCTCACCTCAGGCTCTTGCTCTTCCTGACTTCTGTCTGTCCACTCCAGTACGTCCCAGGAGCAGGCTCTGCCTACAGTCTTCACCACAAGCTCCTGCTCCTCTTAGAGAAGGATCCAGGGATTTTACCTGATCCCCACTCTTGAGGACAGAGGAGCATCTATTCTTCAGAAAGCACCTAACTGTTTTCTGTGTGTTCCCTAGAGCCACAGGCATCGTAGAACTAGAGGAAACTAGTTTAGCCAGGTCTGGTGACACAGGACTATAATCCTAACCATTTAGGAGACCCAGGCAGAAGGACCACAAGTTGAAGGTCTGTCTGTGATACAGGGTGAGTTCAAGGTTAGTCTGGACAATTTAGTAAGGCCTTATCCCAAGGGATCAAAGGCCTGCGCCACCACTGCCCAGCATTTTTTTTTTTAAATCGAAGTTGTAGTTGTCACTTATGGAACTTACTCCAACTCTTAGTCTCTACATTTTGTTATGAAAAGAGAAAAACAGCAAATTTCCTTGGGATTAACCCAGAGAAGTCGAGCTTTAAACTGGAATATTCTGTGGTCATGCGTAAGTTTTTAAAACATAGCCCATCACCAAGAGGGCTTCACACGGTGTGATTTTTCTACCAGGAACAACTCGGAGAAGTACCTGTTGTAACTTGTCCTCTGATCTTGCTTGAAGGTATGTGAAAATATTAAAATAACGATAAAAAGCAAAAATACACAAAACAAATAATAAAACTCTACTTCTTAAAGCCAAGGAGACATATCCATAAGGCCTTTGTTTGCTTGTTTTTAAAATTTTACTCAGAAGTCCAAGAGGTGGTTCTCCTTGGTTAGATAATCTGATCTTCTAGAACAGGGGATCTCAACCTGTGGGTCATGACCCCCTTGGACTCACAGATCAGATATTTACATATGATGCCTAACAGTAGCGAAACTATAATTATCAAGTAGCAATGAAATAATGCTAAGGTTGGGGGTCACCATAAGACAAACTGTATTAAAGGGCCACAATGTTAGGAAAGTTGGGCTTCCATAGAACCTTATTGTTCTAGAATGATCCAATAAAAGTGTACTGAAGATTTACTCCTGTGTTGTTTTTGTGGCTTCTTTTCTCTCTGCTTTTCTATTCTATTAGAAAAGTAGTGAAAAGGATCTTACTTCAAGACACAACTCTTCATCTTACGTCATAGACTCCTGTAACCCGTATACTTCTCCAAACCAACTTCCAACGTAAAGCTGAGAGGAACAGAACAGGGTCTTCACAGGAAAGGAGCAGGATTCATGGCAAGTTCTCCCTCCTTTTCAGAGCAGCTTAGTTAACTATCACACGGCCAAATAAGTTATTAAAAGTTGATCCAAGAACCCACAGAGGAAGTTTATTCACAAAAAAAATCTTATAAGGAAATAAATGTTTTAAAATAAAATTAAAAATGTGGTTTTCCTATGTGAGAAAGCACATTTAACCTCCTCATTAATGATGAGTTGTAGGCAAATGCCCACCGACTACCAGGCTCTGGAGGTGTCTCCATTGACCAAAAACCAAACCGAAACAAAACAAACAGGCCACCAACCGCCACCCCCCCAAAGACTGAAACAAAAGACTGATGATCTGTTTATGTAGTCACATGAAAAATAAACATCTTTATTTTTTGCCTACTTTATTTCATTTTTTTCAAATAAAATTTAAATCTGTACAAAGTATACTGTTACAGTATATATTTTGTAAGAATCAAGGCCTAAAAGAATCACAATACTTCAATAAGCAGTACAGCAGACCTCGCTAGCTTCAGCTGTGATAGTGAACAAACTCAAGCCGGCTGATGCACAACACGGTTGCTTGGTTTCCACATGGTGAGTTCCCAGCACTGATTTGGGAGAACATGACAGCAAATATGGTTATATTACAGCCCAACACACTGCGCTTCTTCATATGATAATAACTGCACATATTTAACACAGAATGCTCAAATTTACTTTTAAAATTGTATTTGCTTACTTTTTAGTTGGCAAAATTCAGCATTCTTAAATGGGGTCCCCAAACAGTGCAAATTAATGATATTCTATTGTATATTGGCACAACTCCAATAAGGATTAACGTGTAAACTCAAAGAATATCAAGAACTTAGCCCTAGGTTTTAACTAATATACACCTGGTCCATTTAACCAAAGTCATTTTGGAAAGATAGTAAAGAACAACTCTATTTCTGAAAGGACATTGTTTTGACCATCCTTTAGAGAAGGTAATTTTTTAAATTGTCATTAAAATATTTACTATAAAAATTTTACAAACTTGATTAGAAATTTCAAGATGATTCACAGCAGACAAATACAAACTCTTTATATTCCAACAACAGCAAGGCTTAGACTTTCAAGCGGAGCACAACCATGTCAGCTGTGTTAACTGAAACTGGACAGTGGACTAAGTTTATAAGTGGTGCTGGGTCTAGCAAGTGTAAATACACAGTATATTTCAATGAAAAGAATTGTCTTCTTTATACTTTATTTGTTTTCCCATAAGGAAACATTAATGTTTACATTCTTTAATAAAGTTAATCTTACATCAGAATATAACAATACTGTCAGCAACAGGGACCACACACAGTAAATAAGAAGCACATTGAAAATAAGTCTGATTTCACATAGATTAACATTTGTTGGTTAATAAAATATCGACAGTATTACAATCTTACAATATTTACAGTAAGAAAAATCTAGAGTAATATATACCTTTCACAGCAGGATTCTTTTTAAAGTTTTTCCAGTTTGGGATTGTGTGTACACAAAAAGCTCAAAATAAAGCAACTCTGCATGTATCTTAAAGTAACGGCTACAGGGGACTCTATCATGGCCATTGAAAATAATGGTGACTTCTCACGGAGTCTGTGGCATCTGAGAACCCAGTTAATTTACCAAAGTCTTGCTCAAACCAGCTAGTTACCCAGATTAAAGCTGCAGAACTCCGGCCTTCCCCAACTGCTGAAAACCCAACAGACGTTCTCATCATGCTATAAGAAAAGAGGGAAGACTGGTTTCAGCTCATACCTTATAGCTGGAAGCTTTCAACCAGTGCATATCTTCTAACATATGCTAAAAGAGGGCTGGTTTCATCCCCAAGCGTCACAAGAGTCTACCCTCCACGTACAGGGCATCTGATGATGTCAAGCTCACTCATTTCAACTCTTGTGCATTAAGATAAGGCATGAACTTGGCCCATACAATACCAGTCAGTATCTTGGAGACTTGGGATTGGGGCAAAGGAACAGATTTGTGTAGTTTGCACTGAGAGCAATAGGAAAAATGGGAAGTGATGTACATTTCCAATCAGAATGACAAGAAGACCCACATCCCTAAACTGGAATTTGGCCAGGGCATCAGAGTTAGCACCCCCTCTCTGAGTACCACAATTAGGATGTGTGCTCTGGGCCTCCTCCTGGAGAGCATCTACAGTAAGTAACGCAGTGTGGGACATTATTTCAGTGATGACTCCCAAGGAAGCAGATACAATTCTTGAATCTGGGGCTGTCTACAACCCGAGGTCAAACCTCAGAGCTGTGACCCGTCCCAACTCTGCTTACTTCACGATATCTGATGGGCACAGAGCACTCAGGGATACGGCTGCTGGCTACTTTGGACTCTAGATCTTACAGGTAATCAACAGGTATCTGGGATTGAATTAGCAAACTGTACCATGGCTCCTTAAACAGACACTGTCAGGTTTGAAATCATGTCAAGCATGAATCTTCACTGTCAGGTCAGAATTCAAAGTAGGAGTGTTCCCACATCAGCCAAGGTTATTTTGTCAAAACCTCAGAGGAGTTGGACAGTTTTTCAGTTTGCAAGTGATTGGTTACTTATTTCAGTCAAGCTGGATTGGCAAACCAGACTGAACTATTTAGTTTGTGTTTTGAATCTTACATTGTGCTAACCCAAAGCTGCTGCATTTGGGCTAAATACACTGACAGAGAAAATTCAAACAAAAGTTTAAGCAAACTTCTGCGGCATTTTCTTTTTTGAAGTCAATGCAAGATTGAAAGGTATTTCTACCCAACAAAGTCTGTTTAAGTGTTTAATGTTACTTCCTTTTGGTCCTATACAGAATGCTATGACTTCTATATAGGTCTGAATGCTGCCCCGTGTAGATTCCTTCTGTATATCTAAAAATATATACTTTTCAGTAGTTCAATACATGGTTAATCTTCCCACAGAGGAAGATTTTTGTAATCACATGTTGCAAAGTAGAAAAACATCTCCTTTCTAAGAAAGGAAATACACTTTTCTATTGTACACTTTTGAATAAGCCCAAAGGCATGCACCAAAAATCATTATTAAACTAATACATGCACTAAAATGGCGTGGAGTTAGACTTAAAGTGCTGCTTCTTGATTTTTAAATTTGAAGACATTTGTCAGGTGTTGAAAGTCCTCCCCCACCCCTACCCCCCACCCCATGGTATCAAGAGAGAAAAGTAAAAAGTATGCATAAATCTTTTAGACTACTCTTTACATGGGGAAAAGATGGATATATCAACTATCCTATATGTAAACTGGACTCCCAGTTTTAAATAAAGTCAATATTTACTGGTAAAAATTGTCAAAGCTAATACACCCAAACAAATGTTACTAGTAAATAATGTTCTACATAGAGAATAATTTACTTTGGTTTTATGCACCTTCTCAAAAATAATACTAGTGTCCCATACTTCACCAAACTGATGTGTTCCAGCAAAGTTGTAAGGCAACTTATTTTTCCCTAGTGCCATCTTTTTTCCCAACAGACAAAACTAAAATCTTTTGGTGAGGAAGGGGTTAAGATAATGGCTAACCCCTTGGCATCCTGAGCATTGTGGTTTATCAAACTCTACCCTGCTAACATTGTCAGGCATCCGGAGCCCTACCTTGAACCAGGAATGGCTCCCATATCTAGAGATGACCTGACTCCTTATACACAGCTCTCATAACTTTACTTCTCTTTCCCTTCTATCTGGATGTTATAAAGTCTAACAAAGCTAGTTGCAATATCACATTTCGCTAGTAGGGGCCACCATGTAATAATTCCAATCCGAAATGTTTTAAGCCAATAGCTCTAAATTTTATCAATTAATTTGCATTAAAATTTTGTGTACAGTCTGCAAAGAGCAAAAATTCATAACTTGGGTTTCAGAAGTTAAGTGATGACTCTAAGGTTGTAGTAAAATTATCTGTATAATGTGCACCTTTTTTCTGGGGCGAAGGTCCATCACTTTCATCAGATTTTCAAAGGTATCTGTGACCCCCCCCCCCAAAGCGTTACAGGGACTTAGAGGGATACCCGTAATTCACTGTATAACAGGATTAGGAAATGGAGGCAGACAACAATGGACTGGGGGGCTGCTCTTTTCCCTTTACTCATATTTGGGAATCAAGTGCTTCAAAGTAGGAAAAGAAATTAAGCTGGTTAACTTCCACTAAAAAAATAAAGCCACTTGCTACAATTTTCTCACTTCCATATGTAGTAAATTTAGCCTCCAAGAAAAGGTATAAAGACTGAATCTTTTCTTTTCCTAAGGAAATTCACAGATATAATGATAAATGTCATCCACATTTAAAGAGCTAAGGCCATCAAACGTAGGTAACTCTAATGATATGAGCCTTTAACTTGCGGTTTCGTGTACAGAATTATCTAGAGTCAAATTCATATTCATTAACCTTCATTCCAAAATTGGTCCACATGTAGACAACCTGGCTCAATTCCTGTACATAACCCTAAAACCTGGACTATGCTAAAACTTTCTACTTAAATTAAAAACAAAGCTACAGGCTCCTCCATGGAATCTAGCCACAAGCATCCACACCATGTTGTAGACAACATTCTCATTTCAAAAACATCACTCAGTTTTCAACAGAATTTGCAAACACTGTGAAACACAATGACCAGCAGAACACGGGAAGAACATGTCACGATCAACACAACACCCCATCCAGAACACACTCAGAATATCCAGATCTGAAAAGAGGCCTCTTACTTGCTGGTTTTAAGTGTGAGATGTGTAAAAAGCTACAGGGAAAGAAATAGAAAATGAGATCATTAAGTAACTTATAAAAACAATTCCAGCCAAAAATATATCTCTCTGTTCCATTGAGAAAATTCAATTTGTTTCTTTCTTTTTTTGCAGCTCTGAATACAGCATCACACATTCACAGGTACACTGCTTGTTCTCTATGCAGGCACATCAAGGAAGCTAAGACTGCCTCTGGTTAAATCAAAGTCTCACATCCTTTGCTGGCCCCATCCCTCAAAAAGTGAGTCAATCTTAAATTCTCAAAAGGAACGGTCATTTCACGTAATACCAGTTATGTGACACAAACCACGAAGAAACTATACGAACTTTATGGAAAGCTACACAGAAAAGGGAACTTTACTTCCAGTTTCTTAAGCATGTGCCCAGAAAGACTCATATCATTTGCTAAATGAAACATACCAACACTCCAAAGCCAGGCCACACCCGGCTGGAAGTGGGATCTCAAAGACACAATTTCATATACATAGACATATTTCCTATCCTAAGCTTTTAATTTTCTTAAAACAGTTTAATAAAGCTCACATTTATAAAGAATTTTATTGGCAAATAAAGATCCATATTAAAAATTTTATAAAAACAAATTTTAGTTACATAGTTAACATTAATAAATATTTTCTTGGCCTTATAAAGCATATGTAATTGCATATGAGTTTAACTTTGGGTGGGATATTGAAATAATTCTTGCAAGAAATTAAGAAAGACTAGAAACAAAAGTGAAAGTGACTAGTCTTTAACTTCCAAAAAATCAAGTGCAAAGATAAATAGTGCAATAATGAAAACTATAAATTTACAGGCCACTTTACAGTCTTTTCTGCTTTTGCACTTTTCTACATTATTATTAAACCCTAAAAACTGTATGCAGCATAGAAATGGGCTATCGTTTATCTCCTTGCCTAGACTCAAGGAAACCTTTCAGGCTTGTCTCAGTCATTTAAAGCACTAGGTCTTTACTTCTTTTAAACAATTCCTAAGGGAGGAGCTATTTAAGAAGGCTCTGCACAGACTTAAACTATAGTATGTTAACTATAATTTAAAATCTGACACACAATAAAATGTGAAAATTATACTAAGTGTCAACTCTGCAAAATAAGCTATGTAAAAATAATCCTGCTATTGTTAATGAACTTGACACTTGAGAAAAGACCAAGTATAGACCAAAACTTCCTTTTGGCTATTTTAAAAACAAATTATCGCATGAATGTATAGGGATCTGATTAAAATGAAACTTTAAAGTAATGTGTCAAAATTACTGGGAATAAACCCATAGTAAATTTACAGTCAATCTGAATCTGAACTATGTAACTTTAAAACAAATATTTACCTTAAATAATTTAAAACACTCCTGGGATTATAGAACAGATAACTGATCATTGTCAACACACCTTACAAAGAGCAAGAACCTGGGTGATATATTAAGTTAGAATTAACACCTGTCTACACTAACTTTAAGGAATTCAACAACTTTAAAGTAGGAAAACAAACAGAAACACGAATTCAGGGGATGTGTTGTCTAATTCTGGAACCGCATTACCAAGGGTTTACGATCCATAATGTTAGATAGCTGTTAGGACTACAAACGTAAAGGAAATAGAAAAGATACTTAAAATAGCAATTCAGTGATTTATCTGGTTTACTGTCTTCTAAAAAAATTATGTGGACCAAAGGCTAAAGTATCTATAAAATAAGAACCTTTGGGTGTGGATCTTGTAGATTAGAAAGATAATCTTGAAATGCAAACATAAGCTACACTGTGACAAGATCCCAAGGTAATAGTGTACAATAAATGTCAATGACAGTTTAAAAATGGCAAACAAAAGGTTCAACTGTTCTTTTTTTTCCAAAATAGTAAGTTCCTAACACCAATCTGCGTTGACCAGGAAACCTGCCGTTTCACAATTGTGCTACTTGACTTTGTTCAGAGGAGCAGACATACTATAAACCCTCAAACCATCATATATACACATCAAAGCAGATTTGTATAATCCATCATCATCACCACAACTAGCAACAGACGGACAGTTTTCTCTTCGCTGACAGTGGACATGACACCTCCTTAGTGAAGCTGAACCTCATTTTCTTAGTCAACAACTGTCATCCAGAGTTCATCTTAGTACTTCCTACTGCCAATAAAAATCCCTCCTACTTCCAATCATTATTTTCTCTCTCACACCCCCATGCACAAACAGCTTTACCCTTTCTGCTCTCCAATTTATACACCAGTGAGTCTCAGTTCTCAGTAACTTAAACACATGCTTCTTACATTCTTCATTTCACAGATTTTCTAACAAGCACTCATTTAGATGCTCTTCAAATTGCCAAGTTAAGACTATCGGGAAAACAACAGTCAGGAAAGAAAAAAGGCCAAGTTACCTCAAAATACAGAACTCTTTCAGGATTACCAGTTAGCTATGTTCAAAGGAAAGAGCCATCACTTCTTCTTAAAGGAGGGATGCTCAGGTGTCATGAGTGGGATCATGAAGAGAGAATGAAGGAGTCAAAATGTCAGATGTTTTTGCAAGGAGGTCAAGAGCTACCAACAACTAATTGCACTGTCAACTGTCAGTCCATTTCAGTAGAGTTTGACATAATGTCAACGAGTGTAAATCATTACCTGATTGTTATTATTGTTTGAGCTAGTCAAAAGTGAGATTTCACCTGTCTTGTAACTTTTAACTGCTATTTAAATCCTCCTAGAAGCCTTTTGCATTAAGACATATTAGACCAAAATATATACCAGCAAGAATACTGCCACAACTGCAAAACACAAGAGTATGACCTTTAACCTTATAGGCCTTCTGAATTACTAAAGTGGAACCTAAACCAAGAAAATTAACTCATTAGTTTAATTTTCCTCCCATGAAATGCTAAAAAATTTAATATGTAAATTAATAATAAAAAGTATGTATTCATGGAAGCACAACAATATTATGATTCCAAGAACAATAAAATGTTTCTGGTCTGTAAAAATTAGTTTTATTTTATACAAAAGATCACCACATTTCTACACCTATCAACAAGCCAATTTTCCACAAAAGCTAGACAACAGAAGGGAGGGAGGCAAAGAGGGAAGGAGAGAGGAGATACCAAATGTAATGGAAGGAAAGATACGTAAAACCTAACATGAATGCAGAATAACTATAAAAGTCGTACAAGCAAACATCACCAGGAGGCTATTTTCCACACTCAACCTTTCTGAAGATAAGCTGCCCAGGCCCTTTAATATCAAAATCAGGTAGTCATTTTGTAAATGGAAGATGACAAACTGCTTAGAACCAGCCACATTTCTTATATTTCATCTGGTTGCTCTTGAATCTTGAAATTCTACTAATTCTAGTTTAGATCACCATTACATAGCCCACAATAATGAAATTTCTGTTCAAAAAAGCTAGTCTTAGCTAGGATGGCCTAGGCCTTAAATTTAGGTTTGGTTTTAGGATCAAATAGCTTCATAAATCTTTAAGTCAGCTTTTCTTTAAAAAAAAAAATGCACTGCTGACTCTGCAGAGCCATGGTAATTAATGCTGCTGGATAGTCATCTTAAGTAGTGATCACTTTAGTTTTATAGAATATGTTACTATGAATGGCCTAAATTGGCTTACAATGAAGAAAACAATGTTTTAAAATTTGATAAACTTTAAAACAAACTTACAAAACTGGTAAATTCACTTAAGCAATTAAAAAGATCTCTCCCTTAGTCTATTCTCATGACAAAACTTGAGTTCCCTCTAAATTACTGATACTCACATTTAGAGATAACAACCATGAATGTTATATTCAGCTATCACCCACTATTTCGAATCTAAAGTGCTGAAGATATCCTTGTCTTAGCTTTAACACAGTAAACAAAATCTCATCCTAATATCCAAGAAACAACAAAAACAAGGGGGGGGGATGATTTTCTATCTGTTTTATGGGGAAGAAAATATTAAAAGTACACTTATGTATTAAAGTTAACTGGAGTTATGAAAGCTACCCGAGTCATTTCAGGAAGTCCCATTCTAAAATCATCTAGAAATATAAGTGTATAATATGAAAAAAAACCTAATGGAAATATTGGAGAAGAGAAAGTAAGTCATGTAAAGATAAAAATAATCCCATGCCCATAGTGGGTCACCATGGTTGGCCAATTAACACAAAATGTCATGAGAGAAAAATGTGTTTAAAAAGTTTCAACACTGCCAAAATACAAAACTTTCAAGTACAGAAACAAAACTGAGATAACCTCTCCAAACATTAAGTTCCACTTAAAAAAAAACTCAGGAAGAAAAAAGATGACATTACTTCTTTTCCAACACACTAACTCTGATGCTATGACATGCTTTGAGCCACCAAATCCACCCAGACTATTCTCAACAGATTTATCTTCCTCACCCCCTTCTACCCAAATTTAGCTCCATTTTCCTGCAGAAAAAGGTACAAATTCCTACAATGACAAGAACAAGAAATAAAAACAGTGAGTACAAATGATAGAGATCCATTGATTTTTATTACAAATGTACTTGATCACTTGGCTTCAAAAAGTTTAAAATCAATACCCTAATATCTGTATGCCAGTACAAAGCAAACTGTTTTACAAATTAAATACCTAAAAACTTGACAAAAATATTAAAATTTGATGAAAAACAATTATAAAAATTCTTTATCTCTCTCTTCAAAAAAAGGAGGCAGTCTTCCCAGACCTATCATACAATGTTAATAGTGTGCAGCACTAGGTAGTTAAATTATATTTATGTCAGCATTAAAAAAAACTCTTAAACTAATAGATTTTATTTGTATATGCTTCAGTTAAGTTTGTGAATACCATCTGATTGCAATATAATCAACTCTCTTTAATTGAATTCTAATTTACACTTATTTAATAATTTGCATAGCTTGAAAGGGATAAAGGTTATTCTATGACTAATTAACATAGGCTATTATAGTGCTATTTCTCAAGGCAATAAGTATTTGCTCCCAAATGAAATTATCTGTCTCCTTTCAGCAGGGGTTAAAATCACTAGCAGCTTTCTCCATTACCTGAAAAAAAAAAATCAAACTGGAATAGTTATCCATCTTTAGATGTAAAGGCCTAAAAACAAAAATTGACAGACCTTCCATTTTGAGTCAAATTTTAACCCCTGCATGGGACTAGAAAGTGAGACTTTCAGAGTTTAAATTTCCCATTGGTTTTGGTTTCTACTTTCCATGGCTTTTGAGAAGCTGGAAAACAGTTTGTCTTTCCTGACTACTTTGTCTTTTTTTCTCATTTGGCAAATGTTCATCTACCTTCAATGTGTGTCTAGTAGAGGAAAAGCCAACATGGCTTTCTTATGAACCTCCTTTGTTGTCAAAGACATGTATGATGATTTCTACAGTTCTGGTTAGTTAACTTTAGCTCCCTCTGTGGCTGGATGACTGCTGCTTCTAACATCTGAATGATAAATAGGAGGCACAAATAAAAGGTAGCTTTAAAATAAGATTTGGTGATTTAAGGGGGGGAAAACTCACAAATACCATCACCACTACCACACACACACACACACACACACACACACACACACACACACACACATACTCTTCAAATCTGGTGGCTGATCTCTGGATCAAATTACTTGACAGTGTCTCTCATTTTAAAGAACATCAATAGCTCAATGCATTTCAAGTTTTCTTTTTTTACTTAGGCAAATAACATAGTTTAACCAAGCTCTTGGACCTTAATTGTAAGACAAAGCAGATCAATAAAAATAAGGCATACTTGTCATGAATTAAGTTCTGTTTGCTTGTTTTTGGCACATTTGATCATACTGTCTTCTATGAACAGCACATATGGTCAAATATACCCTTCTTTTTTCAGCACAAACTGGGGCTACCCACTAGTAAAACTAAAAACATGAAGAGACTCTAACATAATACACTGAAATATAGAACCTTGGTAAAGTACCGAGCACCTGGGAGAGAAATAAATGTAGGGGAGGATGAAACAGGAGAAGGGGAAGGGAGGTGAGGAGGTTGATGGGGAGAGAAAGTGAGATGCTTTGAACAAAAAGAGCATCTTTACAGTCACTCAGTCTTCTCTATATGACCACTTTTTAAGTCTTAAAAGATCTGCGTGTGGATTTCTTTTTAAACCCACTGACCATAAATCAGACAATGGATTCAAAGTCCTAGTAAGATTGTGTTTAACTGTTATAGTGTAAAGACAACAGCACAGTACATGTGCTTCTTGATCCAGTAGGATTCCAAGCAGAATCTGAAGTCTATAAGTAAGAAAGGTTTCACTTTAGGCAGTTGACCCTAAAGAAAACCTTATGAAAGAACTTGCATCTCAAAGAAAGGACACTTTGCCTAAGTTTGCTGTGTTTTTGTTGACTTGCACTACTGACTGCTGGCTACTACGAAACACTGATCTAGGAGTACTCCAACAACTCGTAGCACAAGGCTTAACTTTAAGAAGCTATAGTAAACAAGAGACAAAATCAAAGCAATTCTCTTTCCTAATTAGAAACAGCACAGAGAATGCAATCTTTTCCATATCACAGTTAAAGTACAGTGAACAAAACAGCTCAACAAACCTTAAGACAAAAGTGCAGGTTATTAATGTTTACATGCAGTTGATAAGCATTCCAAATGTCACATTATGCACTGTAAAAGCTCAACTTTACTATATGAAAATAATAAAAAAAATGCACCTTGGGGGGAGGGGAAAGCAATTTAATAATTTCCAGTGATTTTGTAAGTAAAGAAACTCCTAACTATTGTACGGTCACCTCATAGTTAACATTGTATGAATATGAAAAGCAAACAATGGGAAAATGCACAGTACAATGAAAATAGCTTGTTATTCAACACATACAGTAGATCTCAAAAACAAAGACAACACAACCAGAAAGCTTAAAAATATCAAATCAAAACCTAAAGAGCCAGCAGGAAAAAAAAATCCTTCAAAAAAGACAACTGTTCTGCCTTCCTAGGCGGATGCTTTCCAATGGGAAAGGTACTGACCATTCCCAGTCCTACCGGTGGTTTCTTCTACATACAGCAGGTAGATCTAGATGGCTGGATTTGCCAAGAAACAATTGCATGTCCAGAACTCTTTCTGTCAAGACAAGATCCAAGATCCTCTTTTTTTCTTTTTTCTTTTTTTACCAAAATACTTTCTACAGAATTCCAAACCAAAATGTACTGTATTTAAGGCATCTTTTTATAACATTTTTCTCTTCACTCAAAGATGATAGTCATGCAGCAGTTTAATGATAAAAAATATATTAATATTTTACTATACAGCAGCAAGAAGTTAGTTGTCAATTAAAAGCACACAAACATCTTCAAATGAAAACCTGTAAAAGACTATCGTTACAAACAATTTCAGTGGAGGACACCAGCTTGGTAAAGTGCTCTCCTAAGCTTGCATTTTCATAGCCTAAACTTTGAATATGAGTGATAATAGAACATACTTTTGACGGAAGGTTTGTACACTTGGGGAACACAAATACACTTACATATAATGTAGCCAGTAATAACTAGCACCACAGCTACATGGAAATCCTTTACATACACCAACTTGGCTTTCACTTTTAAAGGAAACTCAGAATCCATGGCTCAGTAGGATAACTATAATGGTGTTGCTTTGCTTTTAAACAGGTCTACATAAGTTAATAGCACTGGCAAAAAAAATCAAAGGATAGCTTCAGACCTCTTACAAGTTTAGGAGACAGTGCTAGTGACCACAAATAGACTCACTACCTGATATCCAAGTACAGGTTCACTGGAAATTGCTGCACGTTAGTTAGGTTTTTAAAATCTTTCTACACATAATAAAAAATATATATTATGAACAATACAAGTACATCTCATATACACAATAATAACAAAACACCTACTCAGTCAAAGCAAACAGATGCAGAAAAATATTATGGGAAATTTCCTTTTTCTTTCTCTTTTTCTTTTACTATTTGAATAACTTTGGTTCCAACCATAAAAATCACAACTTAGCAAATTTCATTTAAATGCCTTTTTTAATAATTTCTTCATGTTCACAGAAGTTTCACTGACCATTTTTATATGTTTAAGGTCCAGATGCAATGCATATTGTATAAAAGAGAGCACTTATTGTTTACCTTGCATGAATTAAACCTACGTACCTTGAACTCTACAAACTTCTGCATAACATTTAGACAAAGCTCAGACACACAGCATGCCTAGCCCTCATATATATACACATCTCTAATCACAGGTATATAGGATGTCAAATATACTATAATAACCTCCATGTAAGGTTTGAAATTTGGTAACAAAATGAGAAAAACTAAAAATATTATTTTACGTGTTCTAAAATATCTCTTTTTTGTGCTAAAGTCAAATGTTAGCTCAACATGAAAAGGACTTTTTATATAATTCAGCAATATTATAATCTTGACCATTTTGCAAACACTTTTAATAATAATAGCTTAAACGTGTACAAAAGTTCTTGGTTAATTAGGGAAATAAACACTCAGTTCTTTATATTTTTTAATCAAGTAGGAAACACAGTTCATATAATGTTATTACTTTTTGTATATTTTTTTGTTTTTTGTTTTTAGCAGCTGCTTACTGTTTTACATGGTGGATAAAGTGGACAACATCCAGCGATGGGTGGCAAGTCAAGAAGAGAAACTGTCAGTTGGTGGAGGTTCTGTGGGTGGTGCTCCCTTGGAGTTTAAGTTTTTTTTTTTTAACTTTTTAACTTTTTATTTTCTCTCTTTACAGTATATTTTCTCTCTGTGTGTGGCTGTGTGTGTGTGTGTGTGTACACGTACGTGTATGCGTGCGTGCGTGTGTGTGTGTGTGTGTGTGTGTGTGTGTTTCATTCAGTTTGATCAATCTTCTTCCCCTTCTTCCTCACCCTGCAGTAGCAGGGTGGCAGCGGTGGTCTCCTCCTGCTGCTGCTGCTGCTGGTGGAGCTGCTCACAAGCGGCCCGCTTCTCCCTCTGCTTCTCTTGAATCTTCTTCATCTCCTCCGAGTACTTGCAGAAGGTGTGTCCGAACTTGGCCCACACCTTGTAGGGCACGGTGATGGAGTTGCGGTAGGTGGGCTTCACCTCACTGACTCGCATAAACACGCCGTACTTGTTGGAGCCCACATCGAAGAAGAAGCGCTTGTTGTCCACAGTCAAGGAGGTGCCCTCGGGCAGCTCGGCCGGCTCCTCCTCCACTCCATAGTCGTCGATGAGCTTGGCCAGAGCGTCACGGAACTCGATGAGCCCCTGTGCGGGCAGCGCAATGGTCTGGCCCTGCGTGGAGCCCAGGCCGGGCCCCCGGTTGACTGTCTGGCGGATGCGCAGGAAGCGGCCGCGCTGGTTCTCCTTGAGATCCATGTAGTACTTGCGGTTTTCGCGCACCAGGAACTCGCTCTTGAGCGCCCGGCGTGGCTCGTCCTGTGCCTGGGCCAGGTCGGGCGGCTGGCTGGGGCCCAGCTGCGCGTAGTGCTCGATGAAGTCGCCCAGGTAGTCGCGGAACTCCACTGCCACAGACATGGAGAGGGTGAGGCGGCTCTTGTTGCCGCCAGCGCCCACCTCAGCGATCTTGAGGAAACGGCCCTTAGCGTTCTGCTTCACGTCCAGGTAGAAACGCTTGTTCTGGATGTCCACCCGCTTGGAGGCCAGCTCCTGCGTCTCGTGCTGCAGCCCCCCCGGGGCCCCGCCGCCGCCGCCACTGCCGCCGCCGCCCCCGCCGCCACCACCGCCCCCGCCGGAGCCTGAGCCCGAGCCCGGGTGCCCTAGGGAGCCGCCCGAGCCCAGCGCCGCACCACCCTGCTCGCTGCCGCTGTCTCGGTCCGCCATGATGCTGCGCTCCGCCGCCGCGCCGCCGCCTGCCGCTCCGCCCGCCGCCTCAGTCGCCTCAGCCGCCGCTGCTTTCCCTCCCCGGCTCCGCCTGCTGCCGCCGCAACCCCCACAGCCAGTCAGCCACTCTCGCGAGATCTGCGGGAGAGACGAGACAGACGAGACCCGGTAACAGGGCACTGACTCCCCAGTACAGTAGCAGGACGCCCTACTGTACGCGCCCACCCGCCCGCCGGCACGTGACTGCGCCCCTTCCCCAGGCCAGCAACCCTGCCCGCCTGCCCGCCAGGCGGCGCCCACCCGCCCGCCCTCGCCCTACACCCCTCTCCGGAGAGGGGGAGCGGGAGCGAGCGCCGCGTCGCAGTTCTGCTGCCACCGCAGCCTCTGCCGCCACCGCCGCGGTAGCTACCCCTGTTGGCCAGACCCTAGGCAGCCTCGACTTGGGGAGCCAGGGAACTGGGGGGGGGTATGCCGTATTAAACACAGAAATCAGGCCTGACTCTGCTTTCCAGTGACCCCCAAAGAGAAGATTGGGGGAGGGGCCTGCGTAGCACAGCAGAGTAGGATGCAGAGGGTATACCGAGTCACGGCCTCCCTTTCCCCTGTGGGCCTGACCCAGACCCAAACCCAGACAGGGTTGCCCGCCACCCGGCAGGGCTGTCTCCTACCGCAGAGCCGTGGCCGAAGAGGCAGGCGAGGAAAAAGAGGTGCTGCGGTGGTAAACCCTTAGCTGCAGAGGGGGCTGCTGGGGACGAGGACCGGGCGCCGGCAGCAGTGGCGCGGAGCAGCAGACACCTAGCCCGTCCCTCCCCTCTCCCTCCCCTCGCTCCCGCCGCTCCCCCCTCCCCGCGCACGGCAGCGGCTCTGGCCTCAGATGATCCCGCTCCCCCCTCCTCCCAACCGCAGCCCCGCACAGTCGGGCGGGCGCACTCACCAGCGGGGGGAGCTGGGCTAAGGACAGTAGCCGCACCAGGGCCGAGGTGCCCGCAGTGCCTATTCCCGTAGGCTATGCCCTTACTCCAAAACAATAATAGAAAAGAAACCCACACTCACCCCAAAACCTGCAACCAGACCCCTTTGGGACCAGGATTGCTTGGTTACCTCCCCCCTCCTCCTTCTGAGATTTGGGAAGGGGGGCACCATTCTTAGGGCTCAGCCCAGCCTGGGTTGTCGGCCAGCTCTGCAGATGAACCAGACCCTGCCGAGTATTCAGACCCCGGCCCACTCTTCTTTTGGAAGGACCCAGAATGGAGGAGAAAACCCATTCGGGTTTTCGGAAATTCATGAACTAAAAATGTCAGGAATTTCCTGGGAAACGCAGTTCCTTACGGGATTCATTAAAGCAGGTTTGCTTACCCCTTTACTCTTCCACCCAGAAACTCCCAGTATCCAAAAGAGCCCCCACCCCCGGTAAAATATTAAAAGATCTTGGATTTTATGCAGACAGATTACTGACCATTAATTAACCAATCAGTCTTAGCTACTAAAAGGAATCTCCTGTGCCCATAGAAAGGGGCCCAAGAATAAAGATGGAACTCAGAAATAAAAATTTTCTTTTTAAACTATAACTCATAATCTAGGGCTTCTTTTCCAACACTCAGAAAGACAGTGCCTGCTCGTACTTTACTGCAGTGTGCAGCCCTGTGGCACAGCGAAGGCCTATTTCCTGAAGACCCTTGCCAATGACTCCAAACTCTACATTACTGGAGAGGATACAGACCATGCAGCCTTATCTCTGGCTTTTTCGACACAGATTGCTGCCTCTACCCTAGTAATATGCCTATTCATCTGTGGGTTCCACTTCTACTGAACTCCTTTTCTTCCACAATAAGGAGCCGCCTTCCCTACTTAGCTGCAGAAACTGGTAACTATAAGGTTGCCTATCGGGGAAAGAATTAAAGTAAGATCAGTCTATGGACAGATGCCTTTCAGGTCTTGAGCCCGAAAAGCCCCTTAATATGACCTTTTATATTGGGGGCAAACCTGTCCACTGGGTGTATATGTCTTCCCCAGCAAGAGCCCCATTTTAGGTAGTATTAGGTACATTCACTTCCCATTAATAAAGAAGAAAGAGGGCAAATAACCCTGGTCACCAAAGAGCAAACTAGGGAATCCCGTGAGCCAGCCTGAGAAACACGCACCTGCATACAGTGACATCTGAAAGCGCTCCCTGAAGAGGAAGCTCACTCTGAAACAGAAACCTTTGCTAAGGGCCTCACAAAGAATTTCTCCTTAATTTAGAAGCAATCACTTACACATAGGGCCTTTTCAGTGCTGAGTTTTCTGCACTCTCTCCTCCATCCCCAAGTCTGTTGGGTTAAGGGAAACAGGAACTTTTAGAGGATTTCCTACCACAAAAACAAATTCCTGAAGACACAGAGGTGCCTACAGGCTCTCTACTTGTTCCTTGAAACAGTCAGGACCCTGGATAGACCCCGCCAACTCCAGTAACCTAAATGCTGAGTGACGCGGGATCTGCATAGAACAAAGCGGTATCGTGGTCTCACGCTTCCACGCTTCCACGTGTAACTGAAGGAAAGGTCCAGTGAAGTCCGGTTCTAGAGAGGTACCTGCCTTCAAGAGTTTACTTTACAAAGAACAAAACCATACCCCTAACAAGAGCTCAAGATAGCAAGGCCAATGAGATTTTGATGAGGCCACCCACTGCCAGTTCCTACATTCTCCCAGACTTGGGGTTCCAAATCGCCTTCCCGGATCAACTTCGCAGTTAATCCAAACATTTATTTCCAGGGGTTCTGAAGCAGTTTGAATTTTGGAGAGCCCTGATTTTCTGGGAAGAGGAGCTATCACCAGGAATTGACATTCTCCTCAGAGGAAAGGCAACTGATGGGGTTTCTAAGTAGAGTACAAATTAAATATCATTTGCACACTTAAGAGTGGGAATTTCGAGTGAAAACCAGCAAATGACTGAGACTTCTGAATAATTATACGCTTTATACAGTCATTGTATATGTAATTTCTACCTGTACAAGCCAGCAGCTCTTCTTTATATCTAAAAAGTAAACAAGACTGAAGCTTCCCCCACAAACAATTCAACAATGTTAGCTAGGTAGCATATTTTTACTATTTCATCAAGAGCGTCAACTTCAGGATAAGCTTGTAAATGTGGACTTTTCCTCTGTCTAAAAGGTAAAAGGCGGCTTTCCTTAGGCTACAGGTATGACATTCGTCTTAAAAGGCAGCCAGGAAGAAATGAATATTAACATACAGGATAGTCTTAAAATGTTTAGAACGTTAAGTAGAAATTTAAAAATTATATTTGCATCCTGGCTTTGAAGATCTTTAAGAAAATTGTAGATCTAAAGAGGTTGTTAGCCATTTGTTAACTAAATATACTAACTTGATAAATGAAAAACCTTTTCTAGTGTTTAGCACTTTGAATCTATTACTTCAATATACATAACTGTTAAGACTAACCTTACAATTTCATTCCAGTGTAGGAAAAACTAAAAAGAAACGAAATACGTGTAGCAAAATATTTATATTAATGAAAAATCATCAAAAAGAATTATTTCCCTTTCACTCAAAAATTGCTTACATTTACCTGATAAAGATTTCTAGGTCCTTTGAGTCTCTTTATCAACACTATATACACACTTTAAAGAGAATCAAGACTAAAAAAAATTTTAGTCACTACATATTTAACAAACTTACCCACATTTTTTTTTTGCATTAGGACACAGATTGAGATAGACCAAGAAGGAAAAAAACCCTCAATTTTCCTCTGCCTCAACTACAGGGATTCTGAGATAATGTAATTCACCTTTTATTTTTACAGGAAAAAACAACACATAGTAATAAAATAAATTTGAGGAGAAGCTATTTACCTCTGTGTAGTAAACTCTTGATTGTAGTGCTCCCAACAGAAACAACACATTAATACTTTACAAAGCCCAAATCCCTCCTTCCCCCAAAAGAGAACATCTGAACTTTATTCAAGTGCTACTTGGGTTAAACCAGACAATTATCTTCAATACTTAAATCATTAAAAAAAAAAAACAACCAGAATGTTAGGCTGCAAATGTTCAAAGCACAAGAATTTCATTTCTTTAGGGCTTCCACCAAGGGAGGAAGGGACACAGGTAAACGGACGCTAGCACCATAACCATCTCACAGCACTAGTATTGCCCAAGTCCTTTAAAGAAGCTTTCAACAGCCTACCCACTCTCGAAAATTAGCTTTCTTTGACACTGTATGAGTATTTAGAACTAAAGATATGAACTAAATATTCAAATTCAGAAAAAATGTTTAGTGATAAATAACCTTTGCATCTCCAAAAGGTTTTCATCTTAAACATCTGCAGAAGAGTTAAATTTAGCACACATTCTAAATTCCATAAAAAAAATGCACAGAACCCAACATTTTACGGACCCCAAAGGTCCAAACAAAACCGATTCAAATGTCAAAAGCTCTCTCTTCATCTGATACTTAAATGATTTTACTAGTACTATACTCAAGGAACTGAAATCAGCAACTTTTTTCCATACTTTAGCCAACACTCCAATTTTCAAAGCCGCAATTCCCTTAAGTCTTTTGGGCGGGGACAAAGGGGGTCTTAAAGTAAATAAAAATTTTCCTTTCCCCTCTGGCAGTCTACCAAAAGATGCCAAACCAAATCCAGCCTATTGTAAATCTCCCTTCCAAGGACATGGGACGGTAACATAGACATCACGGCTAAAATATGCCTTAAAGTCCTTAGCTGGACAGTAACGTAAGGGGCCCAGAAGAAAACCGAGCCTCCAATAGTTCCCTCAGAGACAACGGAAAAGGTGGCATTTTTCGGGGGAGGGGGACGACTGCCGACAGCTCTGTCACACCTTGCAGGTCTCTAGGGGCCTCTCTCTACCAAAGTTCAGGTTTACGGTAGATACATTTGCAGGGTTCCTACAACATCGCAAGTCACCTCTGGTCCTGCCGTCGGTCTCAGAGGAGACCCTCCAGCTTCGCATCCCTTCCTTTTGCCCCCACCGCCACCCCCCACCCCGACAAAAGCTAATGAGCAGGCAGGCAGACCTAGCGCTCGGGCTATTGCTCGGGCCACCCATCCATGGGCCTGGCGATGTCAGCACCGATTTGCTTTGCCCTTTAAAAAAAATGTAAAAAAAAAAAAAAGCCAACAACGCACCTTGGGCGTATGTAATGGGGGGGGGGGCGGAGCAGGAGAAGGATTGGTAGTGGAATCTAATTTATAGATCCCTCCTTCCTCTTCCCACCTCCAAGGGATGCAGGACTGGGAGTGTCAGCCACGTCTAGCGCACTGTCCCAGGCCTCGGGGCCACTGTAGTCTGTGGAAATGGAGCTCAGAGATGGAAGAGGGGAAAAAACAAAAAACCCCGCATCACTGATGGTCTCCAGTGCCTGCGGGGGGAGAATTGTTCTTTAAAGGGGGAAATGTTATGATGTTCCTTCTCGGAAGTGGGAGGGGGTTCATTCGTCTCCGCCAGGCCCGGGATGGGGGGGGGGGCGTTGCTGCACCGCCTGGGTCTGCAATGGCACTCTAATGATTTCTGGGCTGCGAGAGGACTGTGGCAGGGGACAGGGTGGGCGGCACCTCGACTGTGGTAGTGACAGCAAGCAAGGTCGCGAGGGGCTTACCGGGGAGGGCGGGCGGGCGCTGTCCTGCCGCAGGTGAGGGAGGGCGCGGGCTGGAGGGAGGGAGGCCGGCGCGCGCGAGGCGGGCGCGAGGAGGAGGGAGGGGGAGGTGCGCGCGCACACCTGTTCTGGTCGGCGGCGCGAGCCGAACGGCGCCTCGCTCGGGCTCTCCGGGCTGAGCCGCGAGGAGGGCGGGCTGCGGGCGGGGGCGGGCCGCGAGGGGAGGGGAGGAGAGGAGGCGGCGGCCGCGCGGCGGGCTCGGGCCTCGCTCGCTCGCTCTGGGTCTCGCTCCCGCGGGCAGGCCGGGCTGACACCCGGCTCCTCCCGCTCACTCACAGCCCCTCCGGCTCTCTCTCTCTCTCCCTCTCTCCTCTCCTTCTTCCCCAGCGGGATCCGCTCGCCGCCGCCGCCGCCGCCGCCACGGCGAGTCGTGGCAGCCAGACGTCGGCGCGTAACCCGGCGCTCCGTGCGTGACTCCCGGCGACGTCAGCGCGCGCCCCGCGCTACCCACCCCCTCCGTGGCTCGCGCTCGCGGCTCCGTGGCGGCCGCGGGAGCCGGGCGCGCTCCCCGTCCCTGCTCGCACGCGTGAGCGCGCCCTCGCCGCTCTTGGCGCGCCAATACCGCAGCCCAGGCCCCGAGGCGCGTCTGAGGACCGGGCCCGGGTGGTCGCTCCCTCCCCACCCCGCTCCCGGGGCGCCCATAGGGGGCTCATCCCGCGCCGGCGTTCTCGAGGCCCAGGCGGGGCTCAGGCCCGGGTGGAAGCCTGAAGGGCCTGCGCCAGCTCCGCGTTAGGGCCTCAGCGTCACTGCGGCTGCTGCCGCCACCTCGTCACACGCCCCCTCCCTCCGCCCGGCTGGCTCAGAGGCCGCTAGCCTTTCATCTCCCGGGAGGGTCTCACCTTGGCCTTCAGACACCCGCCAAGAGGGACTGGAGGGGAGGAATTAGCCGCAGCGGAGAGGCTAGATGAGGCTCTTGCTCCAGCAACCATTGACAGGAAGTGTGGGGTTGCTGCCCAGCCTCCCACGCAGTGTAGGTGAAGCTGGGCCCCTTTGAGGGAATGTGACTAAGGACAAAACCCTGATAAATATTATTTATGCGTCTTTGTGCAGAAAGAGAGAGAGTAAAAGGGGCGAGTTATTTTTCATAAATTGCTATGCCGGGGTGAAACCCAGGACTGTATAATGTCCTTTAAGATTGCTTATGACATCTTACCAACTTTGAGATTTTTGGTGCATGTAACATTATCTCAGACCTCAACACTCAGCACACAGAATTGACATAGATCAGCTAATGATGATCTGCAGAATAAATAACAGTCGGCTTTCACCATCTTTATTTAAATAGTTCTCCCAGAGAAGCCATCTATTATTTGGGAAAATAAAGAGGCCACTAAAAAAGCATTTCAAAGGAAACGACCCATTGCTCTTCAGCCTGTCTCCAACACGTTCTTGCTTTTAACTACGGAGTAAGGAACGTTTTGTTGTTTTCTTAAAGTACGAGAATAACTTAACTGACCAGATTTTAAAGTTATTTTGAACATCCACGACAAATGCCCTGTTCTTAGGCAATAGAACTTTAAAGTCCACTAATCTTCAAG